TAAATTCACAGGTTGTCATCCCTGAAGGAATGCCGGTAAGTTGTAACTTATATTATAAAACTCATTAATATTCATAAGGCAAAACACAATAGAAATCATAGCCCATGAAGAGAGTTGTATATTACATACAGATCGCCCGCTCATATTGTATATATTACTTACTTAATTATTCATCCATCAATTGACAAAGTAACGTAAAGGCCGATTTAGACCACACAACTTTTGCTTACAACCATCGCATGCAACCTGCGTAAGTCGTCCTTACAACATGGCTACAACTGTCGTAGGGATTTTAAACAGCTTTCCCTTTTGTTTATTTACACTTTCAAATATGACCGCTTAACAAAAATGCACGGGCTCACTGGCTTACAACCATTCATATGCAGGACTGGTGGCAAATCAATCACCCATATAACGTATGTAAATAATGAACTTTTTTAGCATAACCACACATGTTTTCACACATTTTTGTTTTTAAGAAGGTGTAAATACCTTTCCTTACTAAGTTGTGCGCTAAACCTCTTTTTTGTCATTTTGATGCTCTAAAGCGGCAAAAACAAAACTGAACTAATTTGCATAATTTGCGACGGAATAGCGTCGCAAATCCAGTCGATTCCTCCAGAGTCTCTCCAGAAGTGAGATCCGCTGGATGGTAAAAGTGTGGGCTCTGGGTACGAGATTGATGACATATTGAGAATTTTGTATGTAAGAACCCCTCTCCCCAAGCATTGCTAATGCTGTAAGACCATTAAAGTATTGTTTTGATTGTTTTCATTCTGATTGGATTTCGTTCATGTTTTATAGGCAATCGAAAATTATGGCATGGTAAGCTAAAGACAAATGTGGGTTTTTAAAACGTATCTAATAATCAATGAAACCAAGAAAGGTTGACAAAAGTATTAAAAGAACAATGTTATTCTTTATGAGAAGCTTCTATTTCTACTGATTAGTTCGCACGTCTTTACACATTTTGATCAAGGTCCCTCAAGGTTTTATTTTTCAAGCTAGAGACGGCTCAATTTTCTTATCATGCAACATCCTAGCTGCAATTTTAAAATATTTCGTGTCCCTCAAGGTCTCAGTATTATATTGAATATGATGATCATAAAGAGTAAGGAGGGATTCCTAAAGGAATATGACCGCTTAACAAAAATGCACGGGCTCACTGGCTTACAACCATTCATATGCAGGCCTGGTCGCAAATCAATCAACCATTTTTCGAGTATGGGTTGGAAGAACCGGTAAGTTGTAACTATTGCTTATAATAAACCAACCATGCACATCATCCATGAGATCAATTGACAGAGCTATGTGATAGAAAAAACTTTTTAACGAACTCCAACATGGAGTAAATAATGAACTTTTATCGCTGTCGGCAAGGTAAAAACAAATTGTTCATCTCTTTATGTTAAAAAAGACTAACTTTGTTTAAAAAAAGTTGTTCTCGTCAAAAAATTCAGTTTTCTCTGTCTTTTGTTAGCTCAAATACACCTGAATTAATGTGCTTTTGGTACCTTACTATTACACTCGCTACTATCATGAAGAAATTTCCGATAGAGCATGTTGTGCAAGTCCTTTAGACGTTGATGTATTTCTATGACATATCAATCTTTTACCCAGAGCCCACACTTTTGCCATCCAGCGGATGTCACTGCGTGAGAGACTCTGGAGGAGCGCGCATTGTTTTCAAGACGACAGCGCCAGAAGTGACATCCGCTGGATGGCAAAAGTGTGGGCTCTGGGTACGAGATTGACGTCATATTGAGAATTTTGTATGTAAGAACCCCTCCTCCTCAAGCATTGCT